ATGTGAGATCCAATTTGAATGTCATAATGCGAAATCAAACAAGAGGAATTGGAAAGTGTAAAGCAAAGTTCTGGGTCGAGAATTTATTACAATGTCGTGAGCAGCAGCCCTGCAATAATGGAATAGCGGGAGTAGAAAAGCAATTTGAATGCGATGGTCACGAGAGATGCATCGGAACAGAGGTACATACACTTTTTATGGTTTCCTTTATACAATGATTAATTTCGTACCAATAATTTGCTACAGCCCTAAAGAATTTAAAATTTAATATTGCCTTCATATGCAACGAACCAATTACAGTAAAGGCGAGACATAATGTACCGTTCCCTGTTTCCTGATGCCCCACATCCTTGGTAGCATCATCTTGCAAATCTCCTCTGGTTACAGCCTCATGTGCCTGTTTATTTTCTATCAGGAAAGCAACATAAGCGAACGGGTCCGCAAGTTTCCCCAAAGCGATCTCCCAGGCAATAAATTTTCTAGCAATGACAACATCAAGCTGTACATACATTCAGAAACAATGTCAGACGCAATAAAGTGAGCTTGCCACAAGGGGTTGTCCATTTGTGCACTTACAAATTGTGGCCGACACCCCTTTGCCCAACATTGCGCAAACTTCAATGAAAACCCCGCAACTTGCCGCGTCTGTCTGTTTTAGTTTGTGTTTTACAAGAATAAATGTCCAGGGTTGATTTTCGTGGAAAATTTCCATCAAAATCCATTCCTAAAAAGGAAATAAATACAGCAAGTATCGAATGTTAGAAATATGTTACCTTCTTCGGAAATGAAACTAAGGTACGATTTTGAAGTTTACTCACCACAGATTGCATCAAACCTTGGTAGAAGGTTTTGTAATTGTCCATAGAATCAACAATGTACACTTCTTTGTCCTTGACATGTGCAATCATGAGCAACCAATGATTTGAATAAATGATTGGAAAAAAATCTGCAATCGCATACAACAAGCAATGTCGAATGTGTTAAAAGCTAAGGCATATTAGGCTGAATCCAATTCCACTAACATGCAGCTGCTACTCATATTGTATAAGAATGTTAAGGCGAGAATGATAGCTAATGTTTACCTTTTCAGGATTTGTCATGGAGTCGTCATTGCTTTGATCAACGAATGTCTTTTTGGTTGCGGGAGATATGCATGGATAGTCTAACACGCATTTCAGCTACAACGAAGTGATTGAGAAGCAAGTATTAGGTCCACATTTTGCAAGGCACAACAGCACATACAATAATTTTCCTTACGTACCCAAAACATAGGATTGAAGAAAAAAATTGCTTATATTCTTTCTGGAGTAAGTGAAGGTACTGGGTCACAACCTTCACAGAATGGAACAAATTCAAACATTCAATAAGAGTGGAAATACAAAGCGAGATCAGTGAACAAGGTAGGCCTGTGCAATCGCATAAAAAACTTACTTTGTCATGAGACATGTCTCCTGAAGCATCACTTGCTCCAGTTCTTCTCTTGTAATATCAAAGAGATGCTGCCTATCTAGTGTACTGACAGCTGTGAACAATGATTGACATGATTACAATAATCAGATGAAAGCGAGATCATTGTTAGCCATTGACAGTACCGATACTTTAACATACATCTGCGGGACGAGTTCTCTGACATGAAAGCATACGGCTTCTTTCAATTCATCAGGTGCTACGCCGGAAGCTTGTGGTAGACACTGGACAATAAAGGTATTAGCAATATAAAGGGGATTACAGGAAAGCGCAAGAGCATGTCTTACATCTCGTAGAAATGGCAATGTCTCAAATCCGCAGTCCTTCACTTCGATGGCACCAACCCTTTGTAAAATTTGTGTCACTTTATCCACAACCTAGTCATACAAATATTGGGTTATGCTCCTGTGTTGCCATCGAGAAGAAGAAACAAAAAGGAGTAAAATAACATTGTCACATACACTTGCCCCTTTTCTGGTTTGTTCAGATAGTATGACAACATCTTCAAGGTGTGCCTTTTCCCCACAACCGGCCGCACCTCGACCCCAGCACACTTCCCCCCTTATCCATCTCTTTTATTTCTTCAACTTTTCTATTCGCGTCCCCAGTCTGACCAATGACAGCATCAGAGGTATAGGATTTCTTCCACATCCAACCACCATCTTCAGCTTTGAATGCCAGTTTTTTGAAGTACGATACTCCCATTTTTTGGGCGTAAAATCCTTTGTCAACATGGTCAGCCAAGAATGGCACATTAAAGCGCCTAAAGAGCCTGGTCAGCAACATACCAAAAGGGAGATGTGTTCTCTTATTCTCCCTGCTCTTAATCTTCCTAATCCTGTTGAGCATTGTTGCAATGATCAAATTGCCTATGTTGACGGGTTGTTTGTGTAACATATGCCACAATATAACTCTTTCTAATGCACTAACGGAAGTGATACTTCCGGCTTTAGGTACAATGTTATGAGTTATTATCAGATGTAACAGCCGTGGCAACACTTTCATATACGGCGCATAAAACTTAGTTTTTTTGCCCATGTTCATAACTCTGTCACCATTTTGCCTAATCTCTCCAAGAAATTCTAGGTCATTGTACCCCTTCACAGCAACCTTATCTACATTCTTTGCGCTAATCCGTTTATAGTCAACAGTGTATCCACTGTCAACCAACCCAAACTCTGAACACAAAACCTCAGCAGACAATTCCATGTGTACATTCCTAACCACTGAACGCAGAACAGACTTCTGCTTATTTGCCCTACAGTTAGCATAGAATTCCCTAACCATTGCATCATAGCACTTGTCATTATTTGCCAGAAATTTAACAAATTTTGGGCATTAAGATATTCCGTGATATCGATACACTCACCAGCGAGAGCTTCTACGTCGACCCACATGCCTGCATACACTGGAAGACTCATACAGGCCTCCATGTTACTGCCTATGCTTGCTTCGGGATGCGATTCAATTGTTGAGTACTTTGAGCAACAGAGGAAGCGAACGCGATAAATCCGATTTATTTGGACCTTGCCGCCTAAAACTCTTCGAACTGCTCCAAATTTCAGAAGGGGGGGAAAGTTTAAACCGAAGCTTTTCAGTGTGTTTACACAACAACGGAGCTTTTGATGGGCTTAACAGGAGAAACGATGAGAAGTTCAAGAAAGACAAGCTTTTTGTGGGATAATTGATCAGGCGGGGACGGGCGTGGAGGGGAGGCAAACCCGATTTAGTCAAATGAAAATCAACCCGATTCGGTATTCGAGCGTGTATTCCGAAGCGGGTTATGCGCAAGCCAAATTACAAAGGGTTATATTACAATCTATTCATAATAACAAATGTAATTATGTATATTAATTTATTAATATTATATACACATATATTATAAGGGATACTTTCAGAAACCTCCCCTGAATTAGCTTATGAAAAATCAGAAAATGGATAATTTATGGACGAAGCCAAAAAGAGCTGGCGTTTTATTCAAGAACTTGTTTATTTTCATTTAATCCGATAAATAAATTTGTTTACGAAAAAATGGGTACTCTTTTCTTATAATAAAGGAAAGCCATAAAGAGTGGTCTTTTATTGTAAATCGAGTTTATTTTTTTTTCCGATAAATAAATTTAGTTATGAAAAAAGGGTACTCTGTTCTTATAATGGAGGAAAGCCATAAAGAGCTGGTCTTATTGTAAATCGATTTTATTTTTATTTTACCCGATAAATAAATTTATTTATGAAAAAAAGGTACTCTGTTCTTATAATGGAGGAAAGCATAAAGAGCTGGTCTTTTACGAGAAAGTGATACTTTACAGAAAGTGACCACGATTTGGATTATCAAATTATCAACGAAAATTTAGAATGAATTTGTTTATTTAATTAAATAATTATTATATATATGTTATGCATTGTATAATTATACTAATATATTATATGACTATAAAGTATATTATATATTTAAAATATTTTTATAAATGTATATTATAAATATTTTTATAAATATATATTTACATATTACTATTTATATATATTTATAAATGTATATTATGTGCATATAATTATAATATATATGTGTATATAGTAATAATATATTATATAATTATAATGATTCCTATTACTTATACGTATACTAATATATACTAAACATTATAATAAATATATACTGTACTTCGTACCATATAATATATTAGCATAATTATATAATGCATTATATGAATATATATAATAATTAATTAATTAAATTGACAAAATCATTCTAAATTTTCTTTGGATAATTTCATAAATCAAATCATGGTCACATTCTGTATAGTATCACTTTCTCTTAAAAGACCAGTTCTTTATGGCTTTCCTCCATTATAAGAACAGAGTACCCTTTTTTCATAAATAAATTTTTTTTTCAATCTAATCTAGCACCATTTCCTATGTAGTTAGTAAACTTCTCACTTCAATACAGTATCCGTCACGTAGATCACTGCTGAGGAGTTCCCTCTTTACCTTCTAACTATCATCCTTTATTCTTACATTTCATACACTTTTCTCTACAACGGTTTTGTTGAGTTTGCATATGTATGTAGTAATGTATGAAGGTACTTTTACGTGTATATGTACATTGCTAAATATAGACCGTAACGAGCCCTGCAGACTATCTCCCAATCTCCTCCGACGACCCTAAAAACCAATCGTATTTCAGTGTGCTAATCTTTTGTTAACGCACCGGATTTTTAGAAAATCGTCATACTAACTTCATGAATGATTCGATCAAATACAGAACATACAAGGGCCAAGATAAGCTATTTACTTTTCATACCATAATATTAAGAGAGTAAGAAGTAGCGGTCAATTCAGTTGCCAAACATAATTAATTTGTACACGATGGTGACAAATTTGTGCAGTAAAAGGAGTTCTCAACATTCAATCTTATACACTAACGATAAGGTAGGGCAGCACAAATTGCTCCAATTTCTTCATCGCAAGTGCAGCCTTCACATGTACTCTTATCCACGTCATCGGCATCCATAGGCCATGAAGATGTTTTCCTGTCATGTCATAGCACAACAAATGGGCGTTGGGTTTAGAAACACAGGATTCTTGACCCATATCATCCTCAGCAGCGCTCGTAAATTGTCACGGCAAAGTTTCACTTTGCCTTTCAGAATTCTGGATTTCTTCATCCCACTCAGCAGTAAAATACCTTTGCGCTTTAACTCATCCCCACCAACAAAGATGTAAATTATTCCTAACGCATATGCAGCATCGGCATGGCCTGAATTGGCAGCTTCTTCCAGGCATTCCAATGCTGAGTCCTCATGCTTGTCCGTAAAATAATCAACCTAAGTAGTGCAAGGTTGATATTACAGTGTTGCGTAAAACTGATTGAAATATTAACGAAAAAGTTAAAAAGTGCAGGCGGAACAGTGGCTGCGGGACAAAAATTATTTACTGGGGCCCAAAGCTGCAGTAACCTGTTGTAGGCCAATCTTTTAGGGGTAAAGTGTGTAGACCCAAATCACAATGAAGTTCAAATGAAAGAGATGATGTGAGGTTAGTCTAGAAATTTTGTAACTCAAGTATGCTTGTGGAATATTAGTTCATTACTATTCCATTTAAAACATTACCGAATATTCCCACTTATTGCGTCTTACGTTCCAAAGCAACCCAACTTGTCGTAACATTGAGCAGGAGTTATACTGTACATGACTAAATTGTTCATTACCAACTTCAAATGAAAAGGCAGAATATTCAAGCAAACGGGAGATCGGCCGATGCTTACCACTCTTTTTCGATACAAGGCTTCTAGATTTTTGCTTTCTCTACACTTCTTCAAGAACCTCGACAGTTTGTCATTTTTTTGCCACGGAACGATTTCAAACTTGTCGAGTGACACCCGCTGGTAAATGTTGTCTGCCTCCGAAACTTCGTAAAACAACTTACAGCTGCAAAATAAGAGAAATGATCCATTAAACTCAAACGAAAAGCACATGTCAAACAAGAATGCCTCTTCCTGTTTGTATCATCAATAGCAGAACGAACCATAGTTTTGCCCAAAAAGATCAGTGGATGAAGAAGATGCGACACATGCAAGCACCTCGGATAGCACCTCGGTCGGAAGGGAGAGGATGGAGATTCTTGAACTCCCTTTTTGTTCGTTGGCCATGTCCGGTTAACTCCTTTTATTGGGCATAGTTGAGTGAATCCCTGAAAGCCCCAAGAATGGAGTAAACTTCAAACAACAACTATTTCCTAATAAAATCCAATAATGATTGATCAGGTGTAATATCCCGAATTTCTTTACCCGAAGATAACACTGACGGTTTGTGCCCTTGCATGCCTTCAAGTTTCGCAACATGGTACAAGTAACATTCTGTAGTAATTATTGAACAGCCGTAACATCCCTACATATGATCATTGGAAGTTATTTCAAACAGTTTCTGGGAGACCGACTAACCGTAGCGATAAACGAACAGAAATGGGAAAGTGGCGACTTCTCCTGCAAACGACGCAACATTCTGTCGTCATAAAACTGTCATCCGAAACAATTTTACAAACCGACCAACGTATCTGTCAATACGGTTAATTCATCGAACCGTAACAATACACGATACCAAGGGAACATGAACAGTAATGAAGTACACGTACATCGTAAATTGGCGGACGTTCATCGCAGAGCAAAGGAGGTTCCACAGTGATAAACAGGGAGGGTTAGTTCGTACCTGTAATGGGTCGTCAACCAGCTTCCAGAAGTCGCTAGCACAGATTTGGCAGACAGGTCCGGCGGGATAAATGGCAACCAAAAGGTCGCGTCTGATGCATATACTGTGTGTTTGACTGACTCCTCGTATGCTACCACGGACGTCCTAACTGGAACCCATTAATTGAGAAGAGGCATAAAAAGCTGGTGTTTATTCGCCAAGTGGGGTAAATGGCATAAAGAGCTGGTGTTTATGCTCTGTAAGGCTTTTTTCTATTATAAACAGAGTATTATTTTTGTTATAAACTAATAAAATGAAATACTATAATTGAATTGAAATATGAGAGAGAATGAGTAGAGGATTGTACCTGTAATGGATTGTAACTTTCTATATACATAATATAGCAATAAATCATGAATTAATCCTCTTGGTAATACAAAGGGATATCCACACTTTTAGTTGTTTCATAACATTTTTTATTTTATGTAACTTTCACATATTTGATTTATGTTACATAGAAAACATACTAGGTTACATAGAGCCGGTATGTTTCCCATAATAAGCCGGTACAATACATATTACAAAACCTGTCAATTTTCCATAAAGAATTGGTATGTTATGCGTTATTTCTCTTTTTTTTAACTTTCACATATTTAATTTATATTAAATGCATAAATTTAACTTTCAGAAATTGGCACCAAATTACTTCTTCTATTGCCGCCAAGGAGTAATAATTTTTTAATCACCTTCATTAGATATGCAATTTCTGTTATTCTAGTTAAATGTAATTACCAACCAGCAGATACATTTGTCAATTAGTTAACGTAAGTAAAATTTAAAAGGTGATATACTAATATTTTTACGAAAGGAAAACTAATAGGTTTTGTATTTAACATAAATTAAATACGTGAAAGTAAAACAAAAAAGGTAATTGCCCATAATATATCCGTTTTGTATAGGTTTCCTCTACTACGAGTTTCTTCCTTTTAATTAGTTTAATTAGTTACTTATTTTATGTTAAATAGATAACCTACGAGTTGACTTAAAATTTATGAAAATCGACATTTTTCCTGGCACATCTGGTGCTTACAATTTTTTGTATTGTACTTATAACCCCTCAACTTTAGTAATCATTCTAATAATTTATTCTTCTTTCAATCTTCTACTAATACAAGGACCAAAGGGGCATCCATGGAATAAAAATACCTTCTCACGCATGAAAATAAAATTGTAATCAGATTTGGACTGCATTGTTACCAAAAACTCAAAAGTAAGGGAGGTCAGTGAAATTTTGAGAACCTGAAGGGATGCCAGTGAAATTATCAGAAAGCTCAGGGGAGGTTTGTGAGATTATTCATATTTATTGTATTCGTTCCGAAACATCAACTACACATGATGGGAGACTCCAAGTACTTAACCAAACAATAACCTCATTCCAAACCCAAATGTGTTGACTACTGTCGGGGAAAACCTATTCCCTCCAACCCCCAAATTCTTGTTAAAGGCGCTGTCCGTCGACACCGTAGGAGTGCCGTGTCCTTGTGTTTGGCAGAGATAAAGTTTGGCGGTGTAGCGGAGGAGATTAACCTTTGCGAATGGCTTCTTCATCTTCAGCCGGGTCGGTCAATAGCACGGTCTGGCCTACGTTATATTGCAATTGTGGTCGAAGCTGTGCAGTTCGTGTTGTTTGGAAGTCTGAAGCAAACAGGGGGCGCCACTACTATCGCTGCGCTAACGCCCTGGTAAGTTCTTCGATTGAACTGTTCCGAACAAAAATTTCGGATTGCTAAGGTAGTTGTATTACAGAGGCCCTGTCGAACGTTCATTGGCTGGTGTAATGAGTTTGCACGAGCAACGGGGTTTGAAGTTCCCGATCCCGCCCCCGTCACCAATACACCCGCGACGGAGGTGTCTACCATCATAGCTGAACTGAGAAGCATGCAAAGGAACGTGACAATCCTTAACATTGCTGTGGTAGCTGTGGTGGCGGTAGTCCTTGTTCTGGTTCTGAAACCGTGAATTAATGTGTTGGCATTGATTGCATTCCCTCCAAACCCCCCATGTACAGTACTGGACTATGGTGTCCGTAAGGATAGAATGGGCATTTAGGCCCGTTTACAGCCTCTTGTATTTTTGGTTGCTACTGCTGTGGCATTGCCTTTTGTCCATCCGTTGTCAACCGGTGGTTGCAGCATGTGCGACTGAGTTGGCCCAACCGGCGGAGTGTTACTGTTTAAATGGTGATTTTGCGTTATATAACATACTAGGTTTCCGTATTTGGTTTTTGTTTACATTGTGCATTATGTGGTTTTTCGAAATGCCTGTTCCCTTTGATCCCAAATGTGTGTACGGATGGGGTACTAGGGATCGTTGATTGATCGATGAACGTCATTAGTCACTGGGATGGCAATCGTTGCGTTGTTAAATATGAACTTCAGCTTAGCCAGGCAACTAAACAAGCTGAAGCTTACGTACAACCAATTGGGATGTGGCACAACATTGTTAGGTTTATCACAGTGAAATTTGTGGAGTTGAACGACGAAACAAGTTCTTACTTATATATTAGGATTTAAGTACTCCGCTTACATATTCGACAAACGGTGCACTCCTAATTTTCAGGCCTTGCATATTATCATCCCCTAACCCCTACCTTTCATACGCTAACAATCAAAACCATGCATGGTACGCCCAACAACAGCAAGGGCCATGAACAAACAATAACCCACCATCCAAATATGATGTTGAACAAAAAAATTAAAAGCACACCGCTGTACCTGCGAACGTTCACTCGAAACGCTCCAAAATAAGACCAAACATAGGGTTTAAGGAGGCAACCGTGGTAGCTACCCTGAAAAAACTGCGGTATTTTTTGCGCCGCACAGTGAGGAGAAGACTGTCAGTAGCATCTCTGTCTTCAAACGTGATCTCTACAGCTGATGGATTCCAGCAAATGGTTGCGGTGTGAAGGTTGTCCGCAATGGCAACGTTTCGTGTCATACTGGCGGGATACCCCTGTTTAGCCAGAAACCGTGTTACAGACCAGTCTTCAAAGTTGGCGCCGAAGAGGATCCACACGTCGGTATGGAGCAGTGGTTTTAGACCGAGGAAATGTGCAACAAATTCCTCCTTGCCCACAAACCAGGCATTGTAGGTCATGATGTAAAACGCCTTCAGGTTCTGCATAAGGGGGAGTGGACGACGGCGCCACTTGACCAGCGACCGGAATACTTCCTCGTTCGCAATGAGGTTGCGAACGGGGATGCAAGACACCAGCATCGACTGTGGAAACTCCGCTCCGAGAAACCTATCTAACCGAACCAGCGCTTCCTCAACTATCCACTTCACTCCAATGTGGTGAAGTGGTAAGACCTCATCTTGAAAGTAGCCGACCATGCCTCCGTTGTTCAGGACATGTATTTCAGGAAGTCGTCCAAGTGCCATGAGTCAGTCTGGAAAAGGATTATGTTACGAGGAGGCAGGAAGGTTCAGGGGTTAGAACATACAGAACGAAGCGAATCTTTCGTCTAGTTACATGTTACAGGTGGTAAAGAAAGATGCGAAACTTATAGAATGTGGTTGCATGAAGCTGAAGCGGGGGGTGAATGGACATGCAAGGAAGAAGTTTAGTTGTGTGAAACTCTTATAGGAGGAGATATGGATGACGGACCTGAGTTTAAATGGAGGAGCTTGCAGTGCATCGACTGAGTGATTAAGAGCACTTTGACCTCTTTCAGGCATCCTTTTGCGGACTACGGTTAACGAACTGTATCATTAGTGAGCCTAAATTAGGTTAGTGCGATAATAAGTCACAGTTGGCACTGCATCTAAATTTTTATTTGGGAAAATTAGAAGAACCAAATCGCATGCATATTTCTGAATTGAACTACTCCGCTGTAGAAGACCAGCTGTGGATGGGTTCGGTTTCCATATGAGAACAGAGTACTCATTTCCGTAGACAGACATTTACCCATTTCCGTAGACAGACATGTTTTTCCGAATACAATAATAACAATGATTTTTTTAATAAAATACCAGCTTTTTATGTGTTTCCGCCATTAGAACAACAGGGTACTCATTTTCCCTTCTACAAATACATTTAGTTGTAGGTTGAATAACAATGCAACCGTTTTCGGAGAAAATACCAGCTGTTTACGGCATTCCTCCATTACAACAAAACAATACCCATTGTTCCATACATAACTTAATTTAAGGGATAAAATACAAATAAAAACATTTTTGAATAAAACACTAGCTATTTTCTGCCTATCCTCTGTTATAACATGACGGTACTCATTTTTACTTTAACGGCTTCAGTTCCTCCTTTGGTTGAAACAATAATAAATCCATTTTGGTAGACAAGAACAACTCTTTATGGCTTTCCTCCATAAAAATAACAGGGTACCCCTATTTGCTTGGAACAAGTTTGTAGCTTGCTTATTACAATAAACGAATTGAAGACGGTTAAACAAAACGGAGTTTATGGCTTTCATGTTGCACAAGTAATACCACAGTGCACATTTAAGCAGAGTACCACTAACCAAATTATGTATTTGAGTTATACAGTAACCCTTGTCCACTTCAACATACGCTTTTCTTGGGTTTGCTCCATTATAATCGGAGTACCCATTTTTAGGTATCAAAGCGAATTTGCTTGAATTCAGAGTATCGCCCCCGAAATAATTTGAGAATTTAAAACACCAGCTCTTTAAGTCTTTCCTCCTTCATGACCTTTGACTACCTGTTTTCCCAAAACGCGTTATGAAGTTGGGATGACATAAAATGCTAGGCAGTTCTTGCATAAAACACCTGCCATACTTGGTTTTCCATTCAAGTAAACAAATACGTATCCTAATCTAGGTTGAATGGGCCATGCAAGAGAGATTTTTTTTATCATCAGTAAGAATACGTTTGTATCACTTACTGTATCTTAATCTATGTTGGATGGGAGCCTACGGAAGCCGTTGTACGAGTTAGTGGGTTAATAAGACCCAATTAGGTTCAACAACTAGTGTAAGGCACACCAGTTGTATTTTTTAAGGCAGCAGAAAATTTGGCTCCGGTGATCATACGAGTCACATGGGTTACAGGGAGCTTATGTTAGAGAGCAAATTTTGCTCGGTTGGGGTGTAATTCCCCAAGATGACAAGACTGGCGCCAGTCTTGCTTATAGGAGAAGATGCACAAAGGTGTACGGTTTGACAGATAATGAACGGTGTGTGGCTTCAATGGTTTCTGACCTTTCAATGTGAATTCCGATGTGAGATTAGAAGGCAACGTTTCTGAATGACTACTGCAGCATGCCCCTTCACATTTGCTTAGGGGCGGCTACACTGGCAGTCCCAATCGCGTATGACGAAAGGACGAAAGCGTGTTCCCGCCTTGAAATTTAGTCCAATCTTTACAGGCCATATGCACTGTGCAGCCGCAGATATTAGTCATGACACATCAGCAAATTCACAGTTTTCTTTACATTTGATAAACTTAAGTGTTAGTAATTCACAATTCGCGGCTTGTGAAGATTAGCGAAAGAATTAAAGAGTTGGGTTCAGCAAATGGGTTGTTCATTTTATTTGTTTGCAAGGGTAGAATAAGCGATGATGTTCATTTTATTTTGTCATGGTCCCCTACGAGTTGATTGCGTAAATTGAAATTTACAAATTCGGCTGCTGAATCATCCAAAAAAAAAGTTTCATTATGCTGCTTAATTATCCAACAATTATTCCATAATTTTTCCCCAAACTTATGCGTAGTTTGACACAGTACTATTTTGATACGTCCTAGGCCCGGGATTGTATTGAAAATGAAAATAATATTTTTACATCTTTTTATATTGTGGTACAGAATAATAAATAATATATATACATATGTATATATGTATATATATATACAGAAAATTTGAAATAAGTGATGCATGACATGCTAAAAAAATTGTAATGTATAATGATTTACATAACAGAAGGATTGTTAAATACAGTGAATGAGAGGGTTAGGTTGGTTGGGAAGATTAGAAATAGTTTTTAGAAAATGTATCGATATCCGACAAATTATATTAAGAAATACCCATCTACCAGTACTTGCACTATTATAAAAATTTATAACTAATTTGATCATTGCATTTCTTGACAAACTAGTGTAAGTGGTATGTCGTGGCCATAAAATTATTGACTGTGAATATTTACGGTAGCAGTTCCGATAAATCTGAACACAAATTTTAAAAAAAAAAAGTTGTTTACTGATATGTTTGGGTAAGTTTTCAAAAATGTGAAAACGCATCTTTATTTCCTTCTTCTTTTATCTCACTACAAGAATTTTGGTCTTCAATGACAACTACTTTTCGTCACAAAAAAGCAAAAAGTCGTCACTGATGACTTTTATTGACAACATTTCGGTTGTCACAGAGTCGTCACTGAATCTCCGTCGGTAAAAGTATACAGTGACGACTTTAAAGTCGTCAGTGAATAAAAACTTTTTTATGACAAGATATGTTGTCAATAAAAGCTACAAATTTAGTGACGACATGCTTTCTTGTCAATGATGCATGAAGCAACATAGTCAGTGTATATATTAATTAGTGACAACTTTGTTGTCAATAAACCCCTTATCAACTG